GGGGGCGGGAGGGCCCGGGGTTGGTGCCGGCCAGAGGGTGCTGGTGTCCGAGGGGCGTGGGGACGAGTGCATGTTCCGGACGCCCTGTTCAGTGGAAGGGCTGGGGTGTGAGCGGGGCAGGTGTTGCTCCCGAAGTTTGGGGGTCGGAGAGGACCCTGGCCGGGTTGCAGAGGCGCTGAGACCCAGGCCTCTGGCCCAGGGAACCCCGGCTGACCCGGGAGTGGGGCCCCGAGGTCGGCCAAGTGATGCCCCTCCTCCCCGCACCCCTTCAGGGGATGGGTGAGGGGCTGGGGTGGGAAGGGTGGAGACTGGGAGGGAGAACGGCTTGGGACGTTGGGACTAAGGACACAGCTAAGTGGTGGCTGGCAGGAGGTCAGACACCAGAGCGGAGACCCCCCTGGACACCCCGGAGTCCGCCAGGTGTGCCAGGAGGAAGTAGGTCGCTGGCGATACTGTCCCTGTTGCTTCAAGTGGCCTAGCCACAGTCGGCGAGTAGCTTTTCTGTCTTTCGAGAAATCCGGCAAAAGAAAAAAAATAAGGATATTTTTGCAGTAAAGGAAATAAAACTATTTCTCTCTAAGCCATTATTTGTTCAAATGTTTTTATTGATTTTTTTAGAGGAAGGGAGAGGGAGAGGTAGAAACATCAATGAGAGAGAATCATCCATCAGCTGCCTCCTGCACGCCCCCCACTGGGGATCTTGTGGGGAATGGAACCCGGGACCCCGGGGCCAACGCTCTATCCACTGAGCCGAACCGGTTCGGGCTATTTTTTAGTTTTGAGCTAAGACTGAATAGTTCCAGGGGAGTTTAAAGTGCCCTGAACTACTTAGGTTGACTCGACGCCTCCGAGTTGTCCCCAGCTTGGCGTTTGCAGACAACAGCTGCCTCCCGGTTTCTAATTGCACCCGGTGTTTGTATGGAGTCAGAGCACACAGTCCGGATATTTTTAGCCTCCTCCGTTTTCATTTGCTGAAGTCCTGCGAGGCCTGCAGAGTGGGAGCGTGTCACTGAGGGAGATGGGGGACCCCCCCACCCCCACAATGTGGATGGAGGCAGAGGGTGAGAGGAGCCACGCTGATCTGCTTCTCCTCTCCCACCCTCACCGCTCCCCAACACTATCTGCAGGTTGATTTTCAGTGTTTCTCCCCTAAAGAGCTTGAGTTGAGTCACTCCAGGCGTGAAGTCGAGGCAGGTGCCAGTATGTTTTTACTGTCTGGTTCCGTGATATCAGAGAGAATGGTGGCTTCCGGATTCCAGAGTTGCAGCATTGTTCTTTGGATTCTTATTTTTTTTTTAGAAAATATATTTTTATTGATTTCAAGAGGGAGAGAGAGAGAGAGATGGAAACATCAATGGTGAGAGAATCATTGATTGGCTGCCTCCTACACGCCCACTACTGGGGATGGAGTCCACACCTGGGCGTGTGCCCTGACTGGAATCAAACCCAGGACCCTTCAGTCTGCAGGCCGATGCTCTGTCCACTGAGCCGCACCGGCCAGGGCTGGGTTCTGATTTTTAAAATGAGGACACTTTGGCTCAGAGAGGTTCACGACTTGCCCCAGGTCACACGCCCTGCCTTGGGTGCCACCGGGAATAGAGCGCAGATGCCGGCTCTCCTGGTGCTCGGGCGGTCTCTAGACCATGGCCGCTGTCTTGCAGTGACTACATTTTTCACAGGATGTCCCTTGTTTACGGTCTTCAGCTTGGCCTGTCTGTTAGCAGGAGAGGCCTTTATCATAACCGTCATGGTTGACATTTATGTACCGTGGGCTGAGGGTGGTCCTCAGGGTTTCCCATCCAGTCCCGAAGGAGGATTTACAGCTGAGGGAGCCGAGGCTTGAGAGGGGCCACGTGACGTGTCCACAGCCACACCACTAGTAAGCGCACCTAGGACAACAGATCCTCCAACGTCTGTCCTTTTGTTCAGTGTTGTTTCATTACAACATTGACGAGATGTCGTAGGAACTTAACTCTTGTTTATCTTCATTAGCCTCCACAGGACAAATGGTTTCCACTCTATGTCATTTCGCTTGAAGTTGCAGAACCAATTGCCCGTTGTGGGAGGCCTCGCTGTACATGTTTGCCAGAGGGCCAGACAACAGGGTGTTCTTTTTAATCTGCTTCCTCCTGTAAATATTTTGGACCTATTTGTTGTCCTTGACCTTGGGGATCAAGGTATGTAGTGGGGAACGGCCAGACTCACCTACTATATTTGTACACAACTCAGAGGCGTTGTAAAAGTAAAATGTACACAACCCTTAAATATTTTATTTTCATTTACAACATGGCTAACCCCTGAGATCATTAGAGATTACTCAGAGTGCAGATCAGAATCTGCTGCTACTTACAGACACACGGGCCATCTACACAGGAAGGTCAGCGCTGACCTTCAATCACACGTAAACAGGTTATGGTGTGAATTCCTGTTGTTAGCTTATCTGACTTTGCAAAAGTCATGGGGAAAACTTGGCTATCTTGTGCCAACTCCCAGGTTTTCAGGATACTGTGACCTTGAATAGATGAGGTTTGAATTTTTTAGAGAGGAAGGGAGTGAGAGAAACATCAATGTGGGAGCAAAACATCAATCGGCTGCCTCCTGCACGCCCCTTCCTGCCCCCAGGGATTGAGCCAGAAACCCAGGCATGTGCCCTGACCAGGAATTGAACCGGCAACCCCTTCAGTGCCTAGTACAACACCCAACCGAGCCATACCGGTCAGGGCTGAACTTTTTATATTTAGAGGCTTTTGTAAGTGAAAACGTTTTCGATGAAACATCTCTGAAGTTTGTCTTTTCTCCATTCTGAAGGCCTGTGAGGCTTTCCGCTGTTTCTCTTCATTTTAGTTGTGAGTATATTTAAAGAAAAGCATCCGTGCGGATTTTGAGTGCAGAGCTCTCTGCCTCCATGAGGATGAGACTGCGGGGCCAGACTGGAGGGTTGAGTCCCAGTCCCCCTGCCTGTGACCCTGGACGTGTTTCATAAACTCTGTCCCGGGCTCTGGAGTGGCGACGGTGAACCCCCCTCGGAGGGCTGGTGTGAAGGCCGAATGAGTGGGCGCATCACTGCCGTCAGCCTGGCTGGGCACCGCGGCGCGAAGCTGTACGTCTCCACGTTCCAGGAGCAGGAGGGGCCCTGGGCCCAGCCAGTCGACACCCCCTTTCTTCGTTTGCAGATGGGACCGAGGCCCCAAGACGGAAATCGCCAGAGTGTGTAGTGTCTGCATCCTGAGCTCAAGCCTTCTGACTCCGGGGGTATGTGTCACCGTCTCGAAATAGTGACAGCGAGGCCTCGGAGCCGTCCTGCGCTCCGCCGTGTGCCTGCCTGTCACTTCCTGCCCCACTTCCCTGGGGCCCCGCACTTTAGGCGGGATTCTAGGCCGGAATGGCTTTCTTAGACAACGTTTCCCGCGTCATGTACTCCCTTCCCTCCGGATAGTTTTTAAAAACCTAGATTCGCTTAATTAACACTCAGGGGACCCGGGAAAGCCTCTCACCCTCAGAGCAGCTCTGGTTCCGGGCAGGAGGGGGTGGAGGAACCGACTTTGGACCTGGGCTTTTACGTCCGAGTGAGTGGAGTGGGAGCACCTGTCCCCGCGGGAGCAGCAGGGCCCCTCTGCTTGCGGCTGTGCTCCCATTCCCAGCAGGTCAGCCAGATCTTTCTGCCCAACAAGCCGTGCCTGTCCCGGCTCTGACCCAGGTCGCGGCTCCCCATCCGGCTCCGGGCCAGCTTGCTGGGGACACGAAGTTTCTCTCTGCGGAGCTCGCTCTTTGCTCATCATGTGCCCTCTCTCCATCGGAAACGCCTTCCTAAGGTGGTCGGCTCTGGACAGCCCCCCCCCTGCTGACCTGTTTCCTCTCTTCCCTCCAGACCAGCACGCCTGGCGCCCAGCTCCTCCTCGTGTGCTGGCCGGGGTCTGCGTCAACCAGGAGTGACTGCTAGTCCGGCTCTGTGTTGACCAGGAGTGACGTCACCGTTGGTCCAGCATGAACTGGGAGGTGAGCGCACTTTTAAACATGGGTGGCTCGGGGGGTTTTCTTTCCCCTGATTGTAGAAATTCAGAATGAGAAGAAGTCGACGCAAGCAGGAATCGTAGTTCATATTTGGCCTTAAGTTAATCATGGAGGTGTGCACGGGCTCACCAGGCGCGTGGAGGGGGCCAGGCCCCCTTGGAGGGGCCCACGACCGGCCTCGGATCGGCCCCTTGTCTTGCAAAGCCCACACCTTTAGAGTCACCCACGGTTTCACATTCCGGTTTCCTTACGGTGGATCGCGGTCATGGGAGCGTCTGCATACGAAGTCGCCCCAGATCTGCGTGCTCTTCTCCCCTGTTCTTTACATTTCTGTTGCCAACAAGTGGGTTTTTCTTTTCCAACTGAAACTTGGAACTGCATGGGAGGCATCCACCTGGGTTGTCACGGACACCGTCGCTGTACAGAGTCTCACTCGTCCGTGTCGTGTTGGAGTCAGTCAGCTCCCGTGACAGCAGGTGCAGCTGACCCTGGCTGGGGAGTGAACACGCCTGAGCCCCGGGAGGCACGGGTCGGTGCTGGGAGCACAGGTTCAAGGGCAGCACAGAGGCGCCTGCTAGCGAGCGGCCGTGGGAGAAGGGTGTGTTGAGTGTCATGTGAAATCCTGAAGCAGGTGGACTTAGCTGGGGGTTGGTCACAGGACAGCCACTAAAATATACGTCCTTGTAGATATTTTGAAAAGTAGGAAGTCAGATAGAAATCATGCATCGTCATCCCACCCAGAGAGCTACTACGAACAATGTTGGTGTATTTTTTCATGTATGTAAATGTGATATGTGTATTTTAAACTTAGGACCTTGTATTTTTTCAATTATAAGCATTTCCTTGTTTGAAACATCCCTGGGTTTCTATTGCGAGAAGATGTGGAAAGGTCTGGAAGCAGGATGGGGGAGTACAGACTCCTCCTTCCCAGCTCCTGGGGTGCGGGGTTGGGGGCTTCAGGAGGCCGTGGGGCCTGTCCAGGGGTCCACTGTCTCAGACGAGGCGATCAGGACTCGGGGGGCAGGGCCGCCCCTGTGCTCACCAGGCCTGTTCACCGCAGCTGTCTCACTCACCCACTAGGTCTGCACATATGGAGGGATTTGTTAGAAATCAAAGGAAGGGGGTTCACCCAGCTGAAGCTGAGCGCCCCAGGGACAGGCCAGGCCCTGACCTCTGTGGTGCCCTTGACCCTGGCTGCCCTGCTCTGCCTTCTCGTCCCAAAACTGCTGCCCTGCTCTGCCGCCTCCTCTCTGGAACCTCTCAGGAGAGAGCAAGCAGGGACCTGCTCCCCCGGGTCTGTCTGTGGTGGTTCCGTCTCAGTGGGTTTCCTGGCTCTGCCTGCCGTCGGATCCGCATGCCGTAGCTGCTGCCGTGCAGCTGCGTGGCGGCTCCGGGACCGTGGCTGGGACTATGGCGGGGCCGTGGCCGTGGCCGGGGCTGGGGCTGGAACGTGGGCAGGGATGCAGCAGGACTGCACAGCTCGCGCAGAGATTTCCAGAACTGGAGAGAGCGGCTTTCCCAGTATCAGTGAGGCTCAGCTACCTAGAAATCCCAGGAACATACCAAGAGGCGTATTTATGGCAACAAACTGGTTTTTTCCTCCCAGGAGGTAAAATAAGGTGCCGTTTAATAGCTGGTTTAGAGGCGTGGAGCCGAGCCTCATCTGTAAAATGGGACCTGCAGGATCGCAGCGGGAGGGGAGGGAGGTTAGCTGTGGGCCTGAGGGAGGGAGGACTGGAAACCAGTCGTCGAAGCTGCTTGTGTTGGAGTAAAAGTTTCATTTTGTGAAGTGTTAGGACTTCGGTTCTCCTGCCAGAGCGACTGGCCGGTGTGCTTGCCCGCTCCTGTCGGCGTGACTGGGGTCCGCTGCTGTCCGGTCACTCGGAGTTCGTGTTCTCGCTGTTTAGTTCGCTGAGAACAATTGAAATATTCGGTTCCTCTTGATTTCCAGTATATTCCTCCCCCATTAGGTCACAGCCTCCTCAGACTCCGCAGGCAGCCAGTGACCTAGCTCAGAGGAAGTGGGCAGTGCAGGCAGGAGCGTCTGTGTTTGCAGCTTCGTGTGAATGGTGTGTTTGCAGCTTCATGTGAATGGTGTGTAGCTTCGTGTGAATGTGTGTGTTTGCAGCTTCGTGTGAATGGGTGTGTTTGCAGCTTCGTTGTGAACTGGCGTACAGGGTGTCCTTACTTTTGTATTTATTTTACCTTCTGTGCCAGTGCTCATGGGTGGTGGGAGCCAAGAGGAAATGGTGGGGACTGGAGCTGGGGAATCTAGAGGGAGGGGCTGGCCCAGCTCCCTGCGCAGGCGGAGAGGCAGATGCTCAGAACAGCCGGGTGTCGCCCGGCCACTCAGTCGGTGGCAGCGCAGAGCGGGCCCACCCCGCCGCCTCCAGAGCAGGGTCCGGCTGTGAGACCAGGGTCCTGAGTCTGCAGCCCCGGGCGGGCCTGGCAGGAAGGGTGGCGCTGGGCTGGATTGTCAGCGACGTGGGGCCAGGGACCTCGTATGTGGTCGCACACAGTAAGTGTGTGATGTCGAACGTTTAGAACCGCTTCTTCCTTCCCAGGCTCTGGATCACGTGCCCCTGCTGCTGTACATCTTGGCAGCGAAAACATTGATTCTCTGCCTGGCATTTGCCGGAGCCAAAGTTTACCAAAGGAAGAGGTTGGAAGCCAGAGAGCGCCAGCTGGAAGCGGAGAAGAAGTCGGAGAAGAAAGAGCGCTAACGGGAGCCACAGGTACGGCTTGCGGGTGGGAGATGCAGGCAGGCGGCCCGGCCGTGTCCCT